TTTAAAAAAACTCTGATTAGTTGAAGCAATTACTAGCTACCTTCGGCATATCCTGAGCAACAGCGTGCAACATACAACAAGCGAAACGAAATTAAAGAGCATTACAACGAACACTATTTTCAAATAAAGTTTTAATTCTCAATTTTGCAGCCCGACTTTTTTACAATTCTTGTAAAATTGTTTTGGTCTATGTGGTTTTCGAATTTAAAAAATTTGGTCAATATTTTGAAGCTACAAATGAAACAACTGTTAGGTATCTTTTTGTCTACTTTCCTCTAACTAATGAAGCTGGAAAGTTTGCTGTGTTCAAAGCTAAGTATCTTTTCTTTCTAACTTTCACGGCATATTAAACTCACTGAAATATCTGAAGCGATTTCGGCAACGTCGATTATTTCCTTTTTCTCTAAAATGGAAACATTGTGTAATTTTGCGAAAAAACATGTTTCGTATTTATAATAGTTCATAAAGTGAGCTGACAATAATGTTCCCCATAGCTTTAAATATTTGCAGTATCATTAGTTAGGGAACTTCTTGTTTAGGCGGAAAATATAAGGGTAAAATATTATTTGCCAAAATTATGCTATAATATAAAATACAACAATCGTTGATGGGTGTTGACAAATTTTGGCTTTCTTTATTTCTTAATTTGTGAGTTTCTTCTTGTAGCGACTTCTTGAATTGCAATTTGAAAATATATGTTTAAATTTTGATTTTAAAATCCTATCAGTGGCTAATATGGTTAGAATAAAGCAAAAAGTTTAATTTATTTTAGTTAAAATGTAAAATTTCGGTTGCAACAAAAAAAACATTTAATTCAAACCTGAAACACAGGCAAGTTTCAGATGCAAATTATAATTTTTTTTCGAGATCATTACTCGAGACGCCTTCGGCTATGTTTTGTTTGGATTCAAATCTGGTGCAGATGCAAGAGTATTTCATATTTAATTTGAAAGATGAAATGTGTTTTCATCTAGATAGACAACTCTTACTATACTGTGATTTCCCGTAAAAACATTATCGCAGTTATTCTGGTTTATATCACTGCTCTTCCAACTTAGAAGATTTATAGCAGTTCCAAATCTAAGAACGGTTTATTCAGACTGTAGACTAATCTTATTATTGCAATTGATTCATTTTAATGCATCTTCAATTTTCTTCTGCTTCAGTAATTGATATTTCTAAAGTGTAAGTCCCTGTCGAGATATTCTTATCGCCAGTCGATAGAGCCTTTATGGTATACAACTGGTACTCGTGCGAAACATCTAGAAGATATTCTAATTTTCAAAATCAAAACATTTCAAAGTTTAGCATTGCAAACAAACTGGCGAAGGTGCTTATTTAAAATGAAAATAATGTATTAATATTAAGTTAATCAGAGATTCCAAATATTAACTTTGCTTCCCCAATCTGCTTCATACCACCTCAATGGAAATATAGGAACTTTACTTTACATATAAAGTTGATATAGATGGATTACCAAAATATCATCTTAGTATTTTTTTTTTGGTATTAGATTGGTGTTCAAATCTGATCAGAGCACAAACTCTCCAAATGATAAAGCGAATGATTTCCTCAGGATCGTCGGTACAGTTCATACGTACTATATACATATCGGTTCCTATTTCAACATGCAAAAGACTGCAACGATTTCTATTTTTTGATCTGGGTCAGCGACAGGCTCATTCCATGTTGACTCGCATTTAAAATTGTTTATCATTCCAGATTCTACAAATATTTACAGGGATATTCATGATGACTCGATTAGTGAGTTAATTACAAATCGCTAGAAAACACTAAAAGCACAGTTAGAATGAAAAATATTATCGCAATAGAATATTTTAATTAATGTACTTTGATATCCTTTTACCGATTTCCAACACATACATATAATAAAATATATTAGGTCTATTTACAGTATAATAAGATAAATGTTAATTGTAACGATACTTACAAAAAGTCTGAAATATTGTCCGAAAGCGTAGTAAAAACATAATTTTATGAAAAAAACTTTCATAAAATTCGACTGTTTCGAATCCACCATTAAAGTCATAAATATTGGGATTTTTTTATTTCACCTCCTTGTACTTACTAGGAAATATTCGAATAAAGTTTACATTTTTTTAAATTTTAATAAAGTTTATTGCTTTGCTTCATTTATTAATCTTGCCGAAACAGTACTATAAATAAAACGCAGTAACAACGCAGAAATACTATTACTCATATAATTTTAACACACTACTAAAGTTTTTCAAAATAATATGTAGACAAAATAATTTAAAAAAAATCAGTTTGATTTTACTTTGGCCAAAGTATACTTTTAAAAAATTGTGCTCAGATTCTAGCGTTCAGCAATATGTTGATCCAAATCAATTTGAAAAAAAAAATATTAACTTTATACCGTTATACCTTAAGCGGATCTACTGGTAACGTCAGACTATAAAATAATAATAAACTCCTTCTGATTATAAATTTGCGGCCGTGAATCTTGAAGCTACGTTATTTTGGTCTATAATTATTGCGTTTAGCCTGTGGGGAAATGTATATAAAGCAGTTTTTAACGCTATTTTTAGCCCTCTCTTAGCCACATGTTGATAGGTAAACCCGATATTCCATTTTCATTATGCACAATTCTCAGTATGCTATTTCGCAGCGCAATTAAACTAAAAAAATGTTTACAAAATAACAGCTTATCTGTGGAATAATGTATAAGTTAACACTTCATTTAAGTAATTAGGAGGAATGGGAAGTAATAGTGTTGAATTAAAGTCAAGTTTTATACAAAGCGTTCCTGGTCATTGTATGCAAACTACACTAAAAAACACGTTTGTGGTCTTTATTTGTTTTATACGCTTTACGTATCTCGACTTCGGTATTACGGTATTCGGTATTCAAGTAAACTGATTTAAATTCGAAATTCATATTAAAATGATCTTGATTGGACAGTTTTCGAAATATCCGTATTCTTGCTATTGGGGGTTGTAGACTAGGTACTCATATATGTTTGTTCCTTTATGATAATAACTTTATTCCTTTGCAACATATTGTATGTATGTTTTAAAATTTGAATTGATCATATATAGTTCCCATTATGAAGCCAATTTAAAAGCTCTCTAAAATTTAACCTAGTTTGTAATTTATTATTAGACACATTTTCAATATGCTTCTGTAAGTAGAACCTCATTGAACAGCGTTTTTATAGTTTTCCTGCCTGTGGATCTTCAAACTTAAGTGCTCTAGATAGGTGATCTCCATTTTCCAACAATAGCTATTTTATATATTATTTATAATAGCAACAACGAATTCTTTTGGAGAAGCATTTAAAATTATATTTCTTTAGGATATAGTTTCCTTACTTTTGTTCAAACCTTGTGAAGTATGAATATTTAAAAATCAATTTTTTGTCCGCAAAAAGCGCTTAAAATAATTACTTTTTATTTTAAACATATGTATGCAACATGATAAATTTAAAAAAATGCCTTTTTAAACATTTTTAACATAAAAACGACTTTTATGAATTATTCTGCATATATCTGAAAGAGGTGCTAGACTTATTAATAAGTATTGAGTACTGATCGGTAATACTTTATCGGTAAAGACTGCGTTCGACACTTCCTTAAAATAGTTGCACTCGATGATGAAAATATCAGACTTTATGCCGATTACGCATATACGGTCGTTACTATACGTGATTTCACAAAATTTTATTGTGTTAAATGAACCAAATATGAATTTGAGAACTTAGTGGAATTTCTTTAGATCGTTTTTAATTTAACTTTCAATTCCTCGAGTACCTGAGCAGTAAGCAACTATATTTGCTGAGAATTTCACGATTTGTATTCAAGCAGCATATACAATATCGAATCGAATTTTCAATATTGAACTTTGAAGTCTTCTTAAAAATCCACTGAATGGAATAGTATGCAGATACTGTACGACCAACACAAATTAACGTTAAAAATTTAGTACGGAGTGATTCGGGGAGAAATCAATGGAAGAGGTTAAACTAGTCTTGCACATGGTATAAAATTTGTTCGTAGATCGCATCGCTTTCTAGATAAATAGCGATGGAACAAGATTTTTTCCGTTTTTTTTAACATAATTTTCTGATTGAGATAAAATTCACAACACCAATACGTCTTGTAATCTTGAAGGTTTTTCCGCATTAAATTTTTTGTGCCCCAGCCACTCTTCCTTTGTTCCAGAAATTCAAGAGCAGAAATGTTTTGCAATAAAACACCTACACAGGTCTATTCGCTAATTCAACTTGGAAATGTTTGTCTATTTTATTTTCTTGACTTTTGTTTCTGAGATATTTAATGAAATTCGAGACAATGTATTCATGTACTCCATTCACCTAAATTTCGTTTAACGGTACCGTAAACCATGGAAACTCACAAAGATTTGTGTAAACTGACGGTTGTGCAGAATATTTATTATTCATTAGAGGTATTTGTTTTTCGAATTCCACGTTAATTGGACGGTTTATAACTGATGAGAATAACACTGGAAGACTGTTTATTGCAACGCCCTTTATCTCCGAAACAATGCAATTGAACAAAAAATGTTTTAATATATATAAACATTATTCTCACTGTTCTTTCGATTACTGAAGATATCAAAATTAAACCTGAATCACCCTATATTCCTGAAATAAGTGCGTATTTTTGTTAGGCCTCACTATTTAAAAAAAATTACATAGCAATTTCTCACTAGCAGCTGCAATGATGTATGTTGTCAAAAACTGGAAAACCCAGTAAGATTAATATTGTTTAAAGTTAGTAAAAACAATGGAATTGTAACGGTAAACATTTCAGTGGCCTACGTTTACATAGCGAGTTGAGAAATCTCGAAATCAAACTATTCTAAACATAAGAGCTTCCATGCTTTATGCACATCAAGGACAGAATCTAATTTTGCCGGGATTTTCTTTTTGTGACGCCAGTTCCAGCTTCAAGTGTCTCCCACTAAACCTCTTGTCGTCTGTTTTTTGAATCTTGGCAAAGATCTAAGACATTTCGAATATAACGATTGAACACTAAGTTGAGAAAAGCAAAGAACATACTAATGGCACAGTTTTGAATACAAGTGGACACGTCTGAGATGGTCTAAAATTAACACGCGCTTTTTAAAAGATCGGTGTGAAACTTTAGTTTTATTTCGACAATCAAGCAAGTGTGTGCATAAACACGAACCCATATAAGTGACGAACGATGTGTTACCTTTAAGTCGTTAACTAATTGGCTGTGGACAATGTTTAGCTTTTTTAAAAAGTCCCGAAAAGACGACAATGGGAGCGGTAAAAAGAATAAGGACAAAGAAATCAGAGAACATAAAAGTCCTTCAAGTGCAAGGGCTCCACCTATTGAAACTGGAAACCCTATGGGGCAAACTAACGATGAAGAAACTGATGCAGTTGCAGAAGCTGCAAGCAATATGAAAAACATTGCAGATGTTGACTTGCTGAAAACTAGTGGTTTCGATTATGTGGCTCAATCATCTAAAACTGATGAACTGAAAATGAGTATAAATAATCAACCTTCCACACCTGAACTTGCGCCCGAATCCGATTCCATTCCGATGCCAAAAAATGTTGTGAATGCACCTAAAACTATCAGTAGTGAGGTGGCGACATTTTACGAAAAAAATAACGAACAAAACGACTTAAAGATGTGCGATTCTTACGTAAACGGGCGGAAAATAGCCGGAAGTGACGAAAATCGAATCAAGGAACGACGCGGCTCTTGTGTTAAACCATGCGGACATGGCACAACGGCAATTTTACCAAGGAACCCAGTACAGTCTGCTGCCCCTAAAAAAGAAACTCCACCCGCAAGTCCGGTAATGGAAATTAAGAAAACCTTCAGGTACACCGTTAATGGAATTCAAGGAAACGATATAGTTGAGCACGAAGAACCGCAAGATAAGAAGCTGAAGAATGAAACGGAGCCAGGCCATAATGTGGATAAAACCAATATTAGTCTGGATGATCGACTGGAACAGAAAAAGTATGTATTAATTGCTTATTGTTCATAATTGTTTCAAAAGATAAGGTGGCGAAGGTTGGATATTTTAAGAAAAGTGACAAGTGAGAAGCAGTCAGCAGGTTGCTTATGTGTATTTCAAGGACTTTGAGCGCACAAGGAAATAACTAAACCTTATTGAATTGCCAAAGCAACGCTTTTAAAATAATAATACGAGTAAACTAAAAATTTACAAGAAAGTTAAAATCACGACAGTTATATTTTACAGTTTATTACTCGATGTTCATAAAAATGTACTTAAACTAACCGAGTCATTAAAAGCTAATATAGAACGATACAAATAATTATAAATGATTTTCAATGATGTTTTTAGATTAAAGGAAGATATTTTGTCAAATGGAAGTCGGGCTTGTTAGGTTCTTAGATCAGAGAAATCTCGTACAAAATTTTGGTACAGAGCAGTGCAGTACAACGATTTTTCAATATTAGAATGATACACCAATATCTAAAATAGGTTTATGGAAATTTGGGAAAATATGTTAAGTGTGTTAAGCATATTGCGGTATTATTGCAAAACAAACATGAACTGACCTCAAATAATTTTTTCCGAATATTTGAAGCACCGGACAGGCCAAAAGGCCGGAACGAATTATAACAGTTTACAGATATCCAATAAAATACCATGTAAGAACACACAAGTTTGCTTAATGCGTTAAATTTGACAGATACACATGTAAAACATCGTTTTACACAAAGAATGATTTAACAGTTAGAACAGAACTGCGAAGCAGACTGCTAAAATTAAGTCGATACAATTTGACCTAAAATATAAATATTCAATGAAAATAACCTCGTTCAAGAAAGTGTTAGTTTTACCAGCCACCAACAGTTTACATGAATTTATTACCTGAATTATCTTCAAAAACTACGCACATTCCGGATAAAAAAAATAATTAAGAATAAAAAAACTTTTGTTTATTGTTTTATATTAAATTTTAATGAAATTGTTTTAAATTGAAAAACATGTACTGATTTTTTAAAATTTATCAAAAGCACACTGTATGATTTGTAAATGTGTGAGCTTAAAAAGGGTGCCTACTTGCAACTTTCAATTGAACGATTTATTTATTATTACATAAACATAAAGCAAATTTGTATTGCGTTTTTTTACTTTATTAAAGTAGTCGTCAAAGTAATTGAGTTTTTTTTATAAAAAATGTGCCACGTGTAAAGCAATCATCATTATGAGGTGGATATCACGCGTTTGAATGACTCAGGGGATTTTTTTTTTAGTTGACCTTGGTCCAATACCTGCTTTCTTTAACTTTTTTCAATTCCTTCAATTCCTTTGGCGGCTTTTGCTCCACGTAAAGTAGGTATTTTGTACTTCATTTTTTACTTGTTTAAAACTAACAATAGAAGCATAAAACATCCTGTTTTTTAATTCATCAAGGATTCTATATTTCTGAAAACTCTAAAAATAGATTTCCATTTACTGACGTCCGTGCATTCTATTATGCATTCAATTGATGCGAGAAATTAATAAGAGCTGTTTTTTGAGTTTGACCTGGCTAGTGGAAACGACCTGGAATCTCAAAATTAATTGTTATTTTGTCAAATACTGGATTCTGGCTAAAAACCAATTTCAATATTGATGAATTTATTAAAGCTTGGGTATTTTTGAACTGTTTTAATCCATACGAGTTTTGTTACACTCGTATGGTCGCTATCAACATTGTTCGTATTATTACAATTATCATTATTATGTTGAAAATCTTGATGTTCTGCTGATTTGCGGTTTAAAAGTGTTCTAAATTCCAAAGTGAAATGAAAAATAAAAAATACAAATCTATTACTTTTTAACTCATCTGATAAACACTTCTTTTATAAAGCCATTTTATACATCTGATTAAGCGATTCAAAACACTTTAAAGACAAGTCTTTCTTACGTGTGTCTTAAAATTTGTATAAGTATTCACTGGTACAATTTATATTCATACATACAGATAATATAAACGTGAATTTTGTGGAAAAAAATATAAGAAATAGATTTAATTTATATAAAATACAAAGTGTAGGCTCTGTCTCATTTGCAGATACGTTATGAACTAGTAATAATATGTTTTGGTTTTCATTATTACATATGTATTTCAATGTATAAAGGCAGTTTTATTATTGCACTATATTATTAGTTATTACGTGTGTGCATAGAATATAGTTAATAATTTCGTTTTCTACATTTAAACTGATGTAAAGCCTTCGAACAACCTAAAAAAGTTCTCAACAATTATTATTATTATTAGCTTTATTTTGATTTATTTTCCTGACTGCGTGAAATTGTTATTATATTTTTTCTTTCCTGGGTTTCAGTCAAAATGTGAAGTAAAATATTTTCATATCGTTTATTTCATATTTTAACGTTTCGGCGAGACAACATTGCCATCATCAGATTTAAAATTCAAAACAAACCCATAATTGGGAAAAAATTGATTTTTTTTAGGCTTGGCTGTCTTTAAAACCTCACATTTGTTTGATTTGTAGACAATAATTCAAAAAAATATGAAATAAACGATATGAATATTTTTATTTCACATTTTAACTGAAACCCAGGAAAGAAAAAATATAACACTAAACTTATGTAAATGTTGAATTGAAGGTAGTTCTGATTGTTCATTAGACAGTATATAAACTCAAAGAAAGTGAAACAAAAAAATTGGAAGTTGTGTGTTATTGCGCTCAAGACCAGAAGAGTGTCGAGAGTACAGTTTTCTAAAATTTCAACAAAACATCTAAACGGTCATAATTTGCCTCATAATTGATATGAAGTTACTAAAATTATTCAAATGTCATTTTAAACTGTTTCTTCAACATTAGCAACGTATTACAATCAAATGAATTTTCTTTTGTTCAATTTTACTATATCTAATAGTACCATAGTTTTTTTCATGAAACTGAAAAAAATTAAGTAATAAGTATCTAATGTGCAAATTAATGAGACTATCAGAGTAATTAATTTACCATTATGTTTGTCTTGCAATCTGCCCACATCAATATCCTGAAAGCCTGAAAGATCAAATTTTCAGTTTTAAAGCAATGAAAAGGTAACTTTAGCTCTAAAACACTTATTAACACGATTTCCGGAAAATAATCAGGCGTAGAATAAAAACCTATTATTAGTATGTGTAAATAATATTTTTAAAATCAGTGGGTGTACTATGAATCAATTGGCGTCAAAAGTGGCTCAAAATAAGCAAAAGTTGTTTTGCTATAGTGGCATTCGAATCTAAATCTTTAAAATGCGTTGAAACAATGTATGTTCAATTTTGCAAACTTATCCGATTAATCCCAGTTAATTTAAACAAATGTACTGTTTCAAAATAACTTCTAAAATAGAAACCATTAAGTAATAGAAAATTACAGAAGTCATGTTTTTTTCGCGCATACCGTTTGTATTTATAGTTCAAGTTCATGTTTCAAATTAAACGTTTTAAAAATAATTTATCATTAGATGGGAAGCAAGTCGAAAATAACTTGTAAACGTAAGAATGATTGTCAGAAATATATACAGTGCAAGAGTGTCTTTCCAGAAGCACAATCAAAGAAAATTGAAATCAATAATCAACAAAACATTTTAAAATGCATGTGGTTGGTTGATTTAAATCCAAAGACAACGAAAATGAAAATTGCTCGACTATAATATAGTATAAGTACAATAAAGAATGATTAGTATCAGAAAATTAAGAGCAGGACAAAAACACGTCAATAATTTGTCAATCAAATTATAATTTGCTTTTTCGTAGCTTGTTTTGTCTTAAGAGATCCGTCCGGGTCCGAGGCGTGTGTACCTTTGTCATGAATATGCTTTTTTTCCAAGCAAGGAATGGTTAGTTCCTCGCTTAACCCTTCTCTTTTATCCGGGCTTGGGACCCGCAACTTCAAGTACTACTGGGCTACCCAGTCTACCCAGCAGCACTGTAGGCAGAGTTTTTCCCGGATGGATGGAAGGAAGGGGTACTCGTTCCTATACATAAAAAAGGAGACAAAAAGAAATGATCAAACTATCATGGTATAACTCGTCTGAGATATTCTCCAATATCCTGCTGGAAAGAATTAAACCACATACGGAAGAGATTGCTGGGGAATACCAATGTGGTTTTAGATCAAATAGGTCCACTGTGGACCAGATTTTTACCATTTTTATAGGCAAATATCGGAGAAATGCTGGGAATTCGACAGAGAACTCAACAAAATGTTTATCGATTTCAGACAGGTATTCGACATAGTAGGTAGATTGTTGACAAAGTTGTCGCAAGCAATGCAGGAACTTGGAGTCCCAAAAAAACTTATATCGCTGTCAAAAGTAAGAGTAGGACAGAGTCTCTCCGACTCCTTTAGTATCAATAATGATCTCAAGCAAGGTGACGCCTCTCACTTCAATTCTTTAACATACCATTGGAATATGCAATTAGGAACTCCAAAATCGAGGGGCCAAGTGCTATCTTTCATCAAGAGGGGCCCAACCTGCTCTTGGTTTTTTCTGACGATGTGGATGTGATTGGCAATAGCAGGATCAACTTCAAAGGCTCTTTCATAAAGTTCGAAAAGGAAGCAGAAAGGATAGGCCTCAAAATAAACGGAGACAATGCCAAGTATATTTACTTCAGTAGAAATTATCGGAACCGACATAGAGTAGGGCAAAACTTCTTTATCGAGGACTACAACATTGAGCGGATAAGACAATAATATGGAAAATGATTTCAGTCAAGTGGCCACCTCTGCTGGCTCGGCAGTACCTCATTCTGGAACACCAATTTTCGAGCACTTTATTAACAGTTTGCTGGTCTCTTTGAGCGATTTGAGCTTGGATGTTTTGCTTCAAGTGGTAAATTCTCTGAGAATTGTCCGCATAAACTTTATGCTTCAATTTGTCCCAAGAAAAGTAAGTAGTCTAGTGGTGTTAAATCGGAGCTACGCGGTGGCCAATTAACATCACCAAAACGACTAATTAAACGATTGTTTAACTTTGTGCGTAAAAGGCTGATGATAGCCCCGGCGGTCTGGCATCAAGTATTTGTGAAATTTCTGTTGAAAACAAAGAATAGGTACCTTTATTGCCACCAGACTCCTCTTATCAGAGTATATCAATCAAAACCATATCAATATAACTGAATAGTTAGAATCGAAAAGGTTCTGTTTTGCTATGTTTTTCGACATTACCTATACCCAAGCCCTAAGATTATAAGATTTGGCATAATGGTTTGCTTTAAAAAGTAAAGCACAAGTTACTCAAGTTTTTATCTTACTCAAGAGTTACATAAACAACCGCACTTTTCGGATTAAAATTGGAGAAGCACGATCCATATATAAGCTGGTCTAAGAGTTAGTGAGAGAGGAATAATCACTACGTATGCTGACGATAAGCCGTCTTAGCTTCGGACGACGATTCAAACAACGCAAACTACATCTTTCAGTTAGAAACTCATGCGCTTTCTACATGCCGAATAAACTGTACTATGAGTTAAAGAAAATGAAATAAAATGTATTTACATAAGAAATCACGAAGTATCGCATGAGAAATATTTAGCAACAAGCTGCAACTGCTTGTGTGCTCATATCTAATTTATGTCTAATATTGAGATCTTACACATTAAACCATTCTCAGAACCATCCAGATAACGTATTGAAATTGAGTATACAAAACATCCCCTGAACAATGCTGGCAAGCGATGCCAGTCATAGCATTCTATTATTCAGCCTAAACTGTTTTCAAAGTATTTAATGGACAAAGTGTCCAACTAATTAAAAACATATATTTAGAAAAGTTCATTCACCAAGTTTCTTTACCTCAGACTCTAGAAGGAATTTGGCTTGAGTTAGCAATATATTTTTAGAAGCAAATAAAAGAATAATTTGTGACTTTATTTTTAGGAAACGATTCTACGAACTATGAGATTTTTTTACATTTCCGAAGTAATCAGTGCCGTTGTCGATATTTTATTTTATTTTTCCAGCATTGTCGTTCAAATGTGTTGTGAACAACACAAGCAAATGGTTAAATACTGTAAAATTTTAATTATTGCTAAACTGCTAGCATTGTTCTAGTTTAGTGCAATATTAAATCCAAATCTATGTATAAGTTATTAGTCGTTGGAGCAAGCAGCTTTGGAGGGTTAAATTGCCCACAATGCTATTTGTTCAGGTATTCTATAGCCGGTTAATTCCTAAAAATAAACAAATAAATAGCAAAGGAAATGAAGGAAATTTTCCATTCTTTCTAGGAAAAATCTCATTAACCAGGAAGCAAAATTCCAAAGTCAGCTTAACGATTTAACTAAGGAACTGTCGGTCCGAGATGCTGAAGCTACCAAGCTACGTTTCCAGATGGATGAGCTCCAAAGAGACGTATTTGCCAAGTCGGCTGGAATGGATCGTAAGACAATTTATCTTATCTGAAATAGGCTTGCAAAGAATATATTTCTAGGTCTGCAAACTGAACTCAATTCTGCCAACAAAGAATCGGAAATTATCCGCCAGAAGATACGACACTTAGAAAATGAACTAGAAAACTACAGGAAACGAAACGCAGATCTTGCACAGGAGATTGAAAATAAAAGTGATTCGTATGGCAACTATGAGGCGGAAACCCAATCAAAAATTAGTGAACTAGAAGGAGTTATTAAAAACTTACGGATACGAATTGAAACGTTGGAGGATCAAATTAACGAGTTGAAGGAAGAAAAACAACAATTGGAAGCTAAACATGCGGAACTCCAGTCGGAAAGGTTTGTTTAACACTTTATTTTAACTCTATTATTAATATTGAATTGAATCAAGTCTCATTCATTTTGCTATAGAGATGAAGAAAGGAAACGATTGGCAGAAACGCTGGAAACCACAACAAAGCAAAAAGAAGAAATTGAAAAAAAGTGGAAAACCGATTTCGAAAAATTGAGAACCGTTAACATTGTTAAAGAGCAGGATTTGTTGGATGACTTTGAATGGAAATTAAGGGAAGTACAACAGATGTGCAAAAAGAAATTAGATGAAAAAGAAAAATTAATAGAGGAAAGACTGCAGGGTGCATATAAAGAAGCTGAACAGAGAATGGAAGAAGCTCAGAAAATGTTGGGCCAAGTAACGAACAATTAAGCATGACTCACAAAGCAAATTGCACTAATAACTGACTTTTAGGTCGAGGCTTTAAAATCATACGAGACGGAAGTAAAACAACTGAGAAATCAAACTTCAGAACAAGAAAAGGCATTGCAGCAAATGAGAGATCAACAGGCACAGATGATGCAAGCTGAATCCAATCTGAAAAACGAAACTAGAAGACTGCTTAATCTCATAGGTAAGGAACTTCTTGCTAATCCTTTCATTTAAAAAACATGCAAAGTAAAAAATTACTAGAAAACTCACAATGCTTGTGAGTAGTAGTTTCGATAAAGACGCATCAAGAACAAAAAGGCGCACTTCTGCTAACTTTAAGTTGAACGGTCGGTTTCTTCAGCATAAGAAAATTAATTGAGTTTCTTTCTCACACTTTGCGTTCATTGTCTCCATTCGTGGAGCACCATTTAAAGGAATGTTATTCTTTTTAGAAATTGAAAAAGAAAATCTACAACACATCCAAAGAATTCATAGACAAGAACTGTTAGATAAAGAGCGGAAGTTGAAGGATACCCTTAATCAAAAGAGAACTGAGATTGCAATGTATTGGGAAGAAAAACTGTTGACCGAATGTGGTAGATTAAAAGACGAAATGGAGCAAATCCACAATGAGGAGAAGTATATTGCTATGGAAGCTGTGAGGAAAGAAAAGGAAGCAGAGTTTCAAAAGAGACAAACCCAATGGGAGAGCAAAATGCGAGAATGCCTAAAAGAGGTAAGTAGATTATGATTGCATAGTTCTGATTCATATTCGAACTGATATTGACAGAAACTTAACTAATTATCCTTGTTGATTTAGATTGACTCACTGAAGAAAGCATTGGATGAAAAAGATGACTATTACCACGAAGAGCTGATTACCGTAAGGTCCAACACTGACAGAGACATTATGGAACTGAGACGGTTAATGAACAAAATTGATATGACCCACCATGATAACTATGAAAAATTGGCGCTTCAGCACGAGGAAGAACTAGGTAATGCAGGTTATTAAATAATGTTAGGTGAAGTAGTTACTTTTGCCAAATTTCAGAAAAACTAAATGCTGAACATGAGCAGGAATTAAAAGACATAGAGGAGCACTGGAGAAGGAACATGTCAGACGTCTCCTCAAATCTGGAGAAAGCGAAAGAACAACTAGAGAAGGAAGGGCAACAGAAGATGGAGTCGTTGGTGGAACAACATAGGGGAGAATTAGGTAAGCACATTATTGCAAACATTGCAATTACATTCCCTGTAGATTATAATATATATGCCTGAATGGATTCAGTTTTATATATGGAATGAGGATATATCGGATGTACCATTTAGACAGTTGATTTCGAACTTAGCTCCATTTATTTTAAGCCGATCGGACAGTATTGCTGTTTCATAGCGGTCATGTGTGGATCGCATAAACACAGCGTTTCTTGATCTAAGCATGTGCAGATTTCGAGATATGTTAATATCTGGCACCTCAGGATAGGTTTCGTGCCAACTACCTCTCTATAGGTAATAGGGATGTTCGGTATTTAACGTAACCGCTAAAATAACATTGTTCTAAACGTGTAACCTGAAACCGTAGTTACGCTAACCGATTTAACCGTTTTTTTTAGAACCGCCTCATAAAACCGAAACAGCGGTGCAGAATGTACACTTGCATATGAGCTATGAGCAAACAAAGGTCATCCGTAAACATAATTTTTCTGAGCCAGCTAAGAGTCTAAGACATAAATTCCATCACAGTTGAAATGTAAAATAACAAACGTTTTAAGCAGAATGTGCACCTGCATTTAAGCAAGCTGGCCATTTTTAAATATTAATTCAGTCAGAAATAAAATGAAAGTTATTTAAATAGTTATAAACGTTGTAAAGTCGACATATTTTTTTTTGGTGGTTCCAAAGTTAACTCGAGTAATACTTTACGTCCAGGTTTTCCAAACAAGCATTTGTTTATTGTTATTGTGGATTATTTAATGTTATTGTGAAACGAAATGCGAGAGATTATTTTCTAAAGCGGGTGCTGTCATAAACGAGCGAAGAACTAGACTCAGTAAAAACCATCTGCAAGAAAATGTATTCTTAAATGTTAATTCATTTTTAAATTAAAATGATATTTTTAAACATTTTCGCATATAAACCGTTTATTTTATTTAATCACTCTAGTTTATTATCAGTTTTTTTGTTCTTTAAGTAGTTACTCCTGACCCATGTTTTGTTTTTGATTTTCGAATATTTCATTTTAAGTTTGCCAATGTTAAGAATTATGTTTTTACTAAAGGGAATAATTATATATCATCACTATTTCTACTATCATCATCATTATTACTAAGGTGGAAGTGGAACGTTGTAACCGTGTTACTGAAAAATAACCGTGTATTACACCTCTAATAGGTAATAGGTTCGAAACCGGTCCTGGAGGTTCCTGAGATTAGCACATCGCGAAGTCAGCACTTGCATACTTGCATGCATTAATAATGCCAAAATTTTAATTATTCAAAACTGTTTGTTCTTTTGGCTTGAAATATATATTTTACTTTATTATAGTTATGATAAAAAAACGAGTTCGTCAGTTCACTGTTACCTGATTTTTTGAGTATGCAATCTGCAATGTAATTTTTGAATGATTAGGTTTTCTGGTTCATCTGGTCACATTTTTCTAATAGCAGTAAAGCAATAACGTTCCTTCTGAACGCAGAAACAGTGAAATTGCAACCAGAGCGAAATGAAAATACAGTAACGTTCTGTTTACACAGAATGGCTTTATCTTAATAAAAAAAACCGTAAGGAAAAGTTCTCGAACGTGTTGGTATTCGCCTCGTACCAATTATCTTGAAAAATGTGGTAAAAATTATGTTTTGGTTTCCCTCCTTATTATAGAAACAGATCTGAACGATTTTTCAGATATTCTTGAATCCTCAGTTTGCAAGCATATACTTCGACAAACTACCTACACCATTCTGTATGTTTAATATTCAATTCAGGTTTTCAACTAATGAAACTTTCAACTAACCCAATCTAACCCAATTTAACATATGGTTTTCTTTACAGATTCGCAGTGGGAAAATCTCATCCATCAAAAATCTGAAGCCATTAAACTAGTTGAAGACGAGTACGTTCTAAAATACAAAACCTTGGAAGAACAATTCTACGCTCAACAGAAATCGCATGGTTCCAGAGAAATTGAACTACTGAAGGCTATTGATGCTTTGAAAAACGAAATCCAGAGCAAAGACTCTACACTCGACGACCTGCAGAATAATGTGGAAACTCTTGAAGGCGGAGTGCAGGTTTTAAACCAGGAAATTGCGCAGCAAAACAGCGATTTAGCAAAGGTTAAAACAGAGGCTGAACAAAAAGTTAGGCAAGTACTTTGAGCATCTTTATGAAATGTACTTAATTCAATATTGTTGCAAATCGCAACCGGATTATTGTGGGTCTGTTCCATCTATAATCAGTCGGTTAAATACACATTTCCACCTTACTTAAATATTTTGACTGCCAAGACTTGCTGGAACAGGCCTTGTATGTTGTGTGTTATTAAAATCATGTTTTTTCTCTCGATTTTCATGTGTAGCTGTACTAGTGGCTTATCTTCGGATGCACCCATATTAGTATTGGTCTTTCCGCTGATCTCATATATCCTAGCCCAGTCCATTTTTCAAACTGTCCTTTTCATTATTTTGTCCATGTTATACATTATTAACAAAAAATAAAAAAAATAATATATTGGCTAAGTAATCAGAATGAGATTAAACATTGCGAAGAACTTATGTATGTTCAGTAATCATTCATTATCCAATAACGGAATTACTGCATGAATTCAATTAATCATTGGTATATGTACGTGTCTAATTTTGTGTTTAGCATACAGGGCATTTCACGACAATTGGCTGTGAGCTTTATATTATACATTTACAATCGTTTAAATTCTGTCACTTGTGCACCATCGTAGGCAAGCTTGTGTAAGAGTAAAATTTCACAAAAATTCTAGGCACTGTGGAAGTCTATAGAAAAGCTTGTTAAAAAAAGATTGTTAAATGAAACGTTTGCCATCATATATTAATACGCTAAACTTAACTTTAAATAATGTACTTTTGCGTATACCAAAGTCCTGCTGAAATAAAATGACTCGCCTTGTATATAACAAAATTATGTGAAAGTAAGGCTTTTTAACAAGGAATACAACTGAAATTAATTAACGCATTATTCCTTATTATGATATTCTTATCTTTCCTGGGTCTCAGTCAAAGTGTGAAGTACACACTGTTAATGCTGTTTTACAACACAACATGCACACCAAATGTTGCATAATTTTTATTTTAACAACGGATATATATTAGTTAGGGAAACAAATTATCATAAAAAAAAGCATCCAAGAAATGATGCAAATACAAAAACATGCAAAAGCAGTAATTTTCAGATCAGATACCGACAACCTTTACAACAACATTTACCAAACCCTAATAAAGCCATAAGTATCGAACACCCCGTACACTGGTGAAAAATTAAAACTATTTCTGCTTCTCTCTCAATACATGCATACCACTCTCGCAAATGTAGAAAATAATTCAGACAAATTTAAGGTTTCAAGAAGGCAAAGACCTAAAAGAACGTTGATTTTTACCAATCATGAG